TCAATGAACTAGCTATCAAAGGAACTCATCTCAAAACAATAAAAGCTATTTACAACAAACCCACAGTCAGTATCATACTGAAGGGGCAAAAATTAGAAGCATTCCCTTTAAAAACTGGCACTAGATGAGGATGTCCTCTCTCACCACTCCTATTTGATATAGTAGTGGAAGTTCTAGCCAGAGCAATTAGGCAAGAAAAAGAAATAAAGGGCATTCAATTAGGAAAAGAAGAAGTCAAATTGTCCCTATTTGCAGATGACATGATCCTATATTTAGAAGACCCCATCGTCTCAGCCCAGAACCTCCTTATGCTGATAAGCAACTTCAGCAAAGTCTCAGGATACAAAATCAATGGCAGAAATCACAAGCATTCCTATACGTCAATAACAGACAAACAGAGAGCCAAATCATGAGCAAACTCCCATTTATAATTGCTACAAAGAGAATAAAATATCTCGGAATACAATTAACAAAGGAGGTAAAAGATCTCTTCAAAGAGAACTACAAACCACTGGTCAAGGAAATAAGAAAGGACACAAATAGATGAAAAATATTCCATACCCATGGTTAGGAAGAATCAATATTGTGAAAATGGCCATATTGCTGAAAAGTAATCTGTAGATTCAATGCGATCCCCATCAAGCTACCATTGATCTTCTTCACAGAACTGAAAAAAAAAACACTTTAAACTTCATATGGAACCAAAAGAGGGCCTGCATAGTCAAGACAATCCTAAACAAAAAGAACAAAGCTGGAGGCATCACACTACCGGACTTCAAACTATACTACAAGGCTACAGTAATCAAAACAGCATGGTACTGGTACCAAAACAGAGGATATAGACCAATGGGATAGAACAGAGGCCTCAGAAGCAATGCCACACATGTACAACCATCTAATCTTTTACAAACCTGACAAACACAAGCAATGGGGAAAGGATTCCCTGTTTAATAAATGGTGTTGGGAAAACTGGCTAGCCATATGCAGGAAGCTGAAACTAGACCCCTTCCTTATACCTTATACAAAAATTAACTCCAGATGGATTAAAGATTTAAACATAACAACTAACACCATAAAAACCCTAGAAGAAAACCTAGGCAAAACCATTTAGGACACAGGCGTAGGCAAGGACTTCATGACTAAAACACCAAAAGCACTGGCAACAAAAGCGAAAATGGGACCTAATTAAACCTAAGAGTTTCTACACAGCAAAAGAAACAATCATTAGAGTAAACCAATAACCAAAAAAACAGAAAAAATTTTCACAATCTACCCATCAGACAAAGGGCTAATATCCAGAATCTACAAAGAACTAAAGCAGATTTACAGGAAAAAAAAACAAACAAACCCATTCAAAAGTGGATGAAGGATATGAACAGACACTTTTCAAAACAAGACAAATATGTGGACAACAAACATATGAAAAAATGTCCATCGTCACTGGTCATTAGAGAAATGCAAATCAAAACCACACTGAGATACCACCTCAAGCCAGTTAGAATGGTGATCATTAAAAAATCTGGAGACAACAGATACTGGAGAGGATATGGAGAAAAAAGAACACTTTTACACTGTTAGTGGGAGTGTAAATTAGTTTTCAACCATTGTGGAAGACAGTGTGGCAATTCCTCAAGGATCTAGAAATAGAAATTTCATTTGACCCAGCAATCCCATTACTAGGTATAGACCCAAAGGATTATAAATCGTTCTGTCATAAAGACACATGCACACATATGTTCATTGCAGCGCTATTTACAATAGCAAAGACCTGGAACCAACCCAAATGCCCATTGATGATAGACTGGACAAAAAAAAATGTGGCACATAGACACCATGGAGTACTATGCAGCCATAAAGAACAATGAGTTCATGTCCTTTGTAGAGACATGGAAGAATCTAGAAACCATCATTCTCAGCAAACTGACACAAGAACAGAAAACCAAACACCACGTTTTCATTCATAGGCAGGTGATGAACAATGAGAACACTTGGGCACAGGGAAGGGAACAACACTCAGAGGGCTAGTTGGGGGGGTGGCTGGGGTGGGTGAGGAGGAGTGGGAGGAATAACACTGGGAGAAATGCCTGATGTTGGCAAGGCAGGGTGGTGGGGGGTGGGGGATGGAGACAGTAAACCACCATAGCATGTATGTACCTATGCAACAATCCTACAGGACGCAGGATGTACCCATGTACCCCAGAGCCCAAATACAATAAAAAATAAATAAAAATAAAAATAAATAAAAATTTTAAAACTCCAAAACTGTCTAGCAGAATTCTTAGTAGTGGTTTTACTCCCATGGCGCACAGGTTTCTTTCCACTGAAAATGTTTAATTCCCAAACCCAAAGAGTCAGAGAAACAGACTTGTACAAAATCATTTATTTATGAAAGTTCTTTAGGCATTGTTCATTTTGCTTTTAGATCTATTAATATAATTGACACTAGATCTGCAGGTCAAGAAAATTTTAAAAGGCATTGGAAACTTGTTAAATGTTATTCTTTGGAGTCTCTTGGAGTCTCTACCACTAAGTTGTATGGCTCAAGTAACATCACATCAAATGTTGGCCAGGCATAGGCAAATGGAGAAAAGTACAAAGCCATTGCATTAACCCAGGAAGATCAGTGAGATTTTTTGAGTTTCTATTTTCTTCTTTGGATGTGATATTGATTTGATCTAAAAGGTTCTCTCCTCTGCCTCCCATAGAGACAAAATCTGAACACAAATTCTTTCTCCACTGGGAAAAAAAAAATCCTATTATCCTACGTGGTCCTTGGTTATTTTCTGTAGCAGATGATGGAATACTGTGCTTCAGGGTCATTACACCTTCATATAATTGATAAGAAAATAATGCCAGCAATAAGAGCAAGCATTTATTCAGCATTTGCTATGTGAGGGCACTGTTTTAAGAATTTTTCCTGTTTTATCTCAATTTTAACAATCATCCAATGAATTAGGTGCCTTTATTGTATCCATTGTACAGAGGCAAAGAAGTTAAGCAATTTGCCCGAGGTTACAAGGCCAGTACGGAACAGAAAAGAGAACCAGAACTCAACTTTTGCTCTATCTTTAGATGACGTATAAATTTTTTAACCTCTGTGTTATATTCTGTCCTGTCTCTCATTTTTGAGTGGTAGATGAAATTTCCAGGGGCACAGTCTTGCCACTAAAAAAAAAGGAAGGAAAATGCCATGGGAACTATCTGAAGCTTATGAAAAGATGAATTTACTGGACTGATTTTGATGGGGAAGAGTTTTCTTTCCTACAGTCAAGAAGTGAAGAATGCGAAAGCTAGAATATTTGGCCATACCTGTGTAAGAAAGTCCTTTTAAACCTTTTGAATTGTGGAATTTGCTCATTACTGAGTCATTTCTTTACATACAGAGGGGGTATGCATGCACCATTCAAAAATAATGAGATTTTGTAATGGACTTTTATTCTAATTACTGCAGAATTCTCTCTTCATTAATACCATTTATGTGAAATGGTTTTTAGTGTAGGATCATGTCCTCTGAAGGGTGGATCATGTACTGCTAGTATACGGATTAAACTTAAAATTAAAAATATATATGTATGATTTTATCTCCATAGAAATTTGAAAATAATCAGCACATCAAACCTGAGCCATTACAAAGATTATTGCCTAGATTAAACCAGGTTGATTTCAAAAGGAAAGGAGTTAATTTAATGTCAATACTATGAAATGTTAAATATTACAGGTAGCACAACAAATAAAGGAAAAATTATGGAATCAAAGTATATAAAGGCCTGAAGTTTGGCAAACACTGGAAGAGCATTAGTTCCTTTCAAACAAGCTAGCTCTCTTGCCAGGCATTAGGCTTTTCTTCTGTAGACTGTGGGTAGGTAACAGAGAAAGACAGAAGGGGAGAAGTAAGTCAAGAATGGGCTGTGGGCTGGGCACGGTGGCTCACGCCTGTAATCCCAGCACTTTGGGAGGGTGAGGTGAGCGGATCTCCTGAGGTCAGGAGTTTGAGACCAGCCTGGCCAAAATGGCAAAACCCCATCTCTACTGAAAATACAAAAATTAGCCGGGCCTAGTGGTGGGCACCTCTAATCCCAGCTATTCTGGAGGCTGAGGCACAGGAATCGCTTAAACACCAGGAGGCAGAGGTTGCAGTGAGCCGAGACCGTGCCACTGTACTCAGGCCTAGAGGATAAGAGTGAGACTTTGTCTCAAAAAAAAAAAAAAGGACTGTGTTGTCTTTTTATATCTACCCTGATTGTGTTAGGTGACGAAATTCTTAGTCTACATAGGTATGACTTGCAAACATATGTATTTTTTTCATTTCTCCCATGAATAACATTTTTCGTACTTGCAGGTAACAATGCATACCCAGTATATAGTGTTTCCTTAGCCTTTTTCTTCCTTTAGCATTTCATTTTCCAAGTCCTTTGTCAAACATAAACTGTTGTAACACCTTTTTGTCTTCCCCCAACCCTTGTAGTTTGTTTTATTCCTATAGTCAAAGTTGCAGAGCTGGGAAGTAGATAAAACAGTCATGCCCAGGTCACGCAAGATGTTTTAAATAAAAAGATGCCACAAGCAAAATTTAAAAATGTCGAAGGGGCAAAGTAATTCCTCTCTTCAAGGGAGAATTTTCAAGTATGAAGTATGCTGTAGAAAATGTACCACTAACTCAAGTTTTCTTTCAGATTCAAAATTACATTAACACTGGAATTACTGTGGTTTACTAGTAACACATTTGGAATAATATTATGTTTGCCTGTTTGTCTCTGTCTTTTCTTGTTGTTTCTTTGGATCTCATCTCAAATCTTTTCAGTGGTAAATTTAAGAAAATATGTACTTTTCTTAACTTACATATTTTTTTCATTTCTTGCATTGCCTCTTGGTGACAACAGTGTTTTAATTGGTAATTGCATTTTTACAAATGAACTGAACACTCCTCTTCACATTAAAAATGCAACAAATGAAGCATGAGAAAGAATTTATATAACCTGTTTTTCCCTTCTCCTTTTTAGATGGTAAGGTTGAAGTTACAAAAGAAGGTGTGAAGTTGTGTACCATGGGCCCAGGAAAAGTGTTTGGGGAGTTGGCTATTCTTTACAACTGTACCCGGACAGCGACCGTCAAGAGTAAGGCTATTTTCATATTTTTAAAGTACTTGCAATGTCTTTTTCCCTAGGCCTTTGAGATATTGATTAAAATGCCCATTTATTTAATCTTTATAATTTTATTAATATTTTATTTTTTGCCCTGAAATATAGCTGATGTATTTGTTTTCCTATGAAAGGTGATTGTTAATAATCAGTTTTGTATAAATTACATTTTCTTGCTGAATTCTGAAAATTATCCTTTAATGAATAAATTCTCATAACTAGGATTTTTAAAATGATATAATTTTGTAAATTAGAATCAAATAAGAGCAAGTCCTTTTCTTTCTTTATAGCCTCGGGATTATATTTAAGAAATTTTTACATGTCTGTCTATTTTGGGTTATATTCCTCACATAAATTCCGCTTGTTTACTCAGTGGTTTAGAAAAATTAAGAGGAGAAATGTCCTCCATCTCATTCAAACATCATTGAGTAAGATATCTCCTGAATTCTAAAACTGCATCTGAGTATATTTTTGCCTTCAGCTGCTCATCAAGCTGTATATTATAGCATTTTTCTTTTCTACTGATTGAGCTTATTTTAAATCAGGGCAATAAAGCAGCTTGTTTCCCTAATTTTACATGTATGTGTATATATGATTTCTCTAGCTACTTTTGTTGCTTGGTAGAAGCAGCTGCAATAGTTAGGGGAAAAAAGATTTTTTAAAAATCTGCTTCCTGAGTAAGGATATAATGACTGTATAACAAACAGAGCTGAATTCAAAAGTCAACAATGTAAGGTTCATTGCATCTTTAGGCAAACGTATGTATTTTATGTTTGAAAAGTCTTTCTGACACGTTTTTCTGTGGTTGATTTCAATCACAAATTACTTTGATTAGGTTTTGTCATTTAAAAAAATGCTATTGGCAAAATGACAAGTACATTGTGAATTTCAGTTAGTTTTATCTGGATCTCATGGACTACTTTTTGGATTAGTTTTTTTCCTTCAGAAGTACAGGATATAAATGACAATACAAAATGAAATTGGATTTTAAAACACATAAGAATGCATGGCCAGCTGGAATCCCAGAAATTGTCTTACATGTCTTATTAGTGAATCACCTTTTTATTTGTTGGATTCACTGTAACATCAATTGCAAATAGGCCCCTTTTAGAATGAGTCTTCCGTGGCATTTGATTCTTGATCTCTGAAAGCATAGGACTCTTTTGATTGATAGATGCTGCCATGTTTTTACTTCACGTGATCATTCAATTACATGACTCAAAGAATGAGACTCAGTGAACAATAATAGAATCTGCCACACCTTTAACTTACTTAAAAGAACCTTAAGTACAATAGTCACGGCTCCATTAACTGAAACAGATTTTATAATTATACTTCATTTTCATGAGAAATATATTCCTTTTAAGATTAAAAAATGCCAGAATAGTATATTTTGATATGTGAGAATTATAAGTAAATTTTTTGTTTAAAAATTTTTAAGACTTTTAAATATTTCAGACTTGTACACTGCTTGATACTTTAACTTAATTGAAACTACAAAATTTCCAAAAGCCAACAATTGGTAATAATATGGTAGTAATCTTATGAAACATGGAATTTTTATTAAAGAAATATTTTAGATAGTCTATTTAAATGAATTTTACAGCAAAGATTTTTACTAAAATGATTTGTTTCATAAACATCAATTTTCTCATTAGGTTTCCATATATTGGTGTTCATCTGTACTAACATCTATCGTACTCATATTTGGCAAATAGAAATAGACACTATGAATCTAATTCAACAAGAAGACACTAGATGTTGAATGCAAATTGTAAGCCTAACTCTTTGGGGGTCAGAACATCCATCATCAAAGGAAATGAGTAATGGGACATGTTCTTTAACACAGACTCAGAGAAAGCTCCAGAATTCATCTGTGCATGTGTGTTTGTTTCTTCACAGTGCCTACTTAAGATTTAATGGTTGTGTTGGCAAAAGAGTCTAAAGCGGGTTATGTGCAAATATATATCTGCATTTATAGGTACAGAGGTTTTGTGCACGAATCAGAAACAACATCTATAAGCAACTCTTGCTTCCAAATGTTGCAAAAGCACTATGAAGTATTAATAATGATTGTTTCAGGACTTTTTGTCCTGCCACCCTCTGCTGTCTAGGGAGACTGTACTTGTGATTGCAGGCCTTAAGCACCATTTTTTTTCTATATGTTTAAATTAAACCTTCAGGATGGATATGTTATGATTCTAATTATATGCCAGTGTGGATACTACTTTTACAGAATAGCTACAGAATATAACTCCCAATGCTGTCTTATTCTTTACGCATGATAAAAACATGTCTTCAAATTTATTTGGCTTTTAAGGTTCACTTATTTCTTAGTATTCAAGATGATATCAACTTGTCTATCTTTTCCTGTCATCGTGTCATTTGGAGTATCAAATGACAAGAGTATTGACCATCTGGAGTATCATTCAAAATGGATTAATCCACTTGGGTGTAATAGTCTAATTCTGAGGGGAATGGTTTTCCTACACAATAGCTGATCTATTCATGCCTCTTTCTTTCTCACAAACCTTGGCTTTTAACCTCCTTAACATCACCCACCTTCCTTCATGATTGAAAATGTTGAAGATGCCAGCTCTATGGCTCACACCTATAATCTCAGCACTTTGAGAGGCCAAGGAGGGTGGATCACAATGTCAGGAGTTTGAGACCAGCCTGGCTAATATGGTGAAACCCCGTTTCTACTAAAAATACAAAAATTAGCTGGGCATGGTGGCTGACGCCTGTAATCCCAGCTACTTGGGAGACTAAAGCAGGAGAATCGCTTGAACCTGGGAGGTGGAGGTTGCAGTGAGCTGAGATCGTGCCATTGCACTCCAGCCTGGGCAACAGAGCGAGACTCCGTCTCAAAAGAAAAAAGAAAAAGAAAGAAAATGTTGATGATCCTTTCTCTTTTCTATTTTCCTTGATCAGCCTCAAAGTTATCTGACATCTTAATGCATTTTTATTTTCACATTTGTAACTAAATTCTAGGCAGCACTCAATAATTTTTCAATGTACATTACTTGTTTCTTTTTCAAGACAGCACTTTTTGCAATTTTATCAGGCTGTGAATAAATAAATTTCAGTGATGTTACCAGCTTATGAATATGATCATAACACCTGTGGGTTTTTTCCTACGCTTAGGTTATCAAGAAGTAGTTTTCTTATTAAAGCTGTAGTTTGACATATGCTATAAAATATGATTATAAGCTTATTCATAGTGATCTAACAGAAAGAAGCACCATGGTAGTTTGAAGCAAGCATTTTGGTTTTCATCTGGGAAAAATCAATTGGCATTCTTCTGAAAATAAATAATATTTATTTTCAGTGGTTATCATGATAGCACTAGGAGGAAGATCTGATAGCACCAGGAAGAATATTTTTTAAAAATCAAAACCACAGTGATATAGAAAGAAGCAATCCTGGTATGATTCAGATCTATATTCATAGTCTGCTCCTGTCTTATAAAATAACTATTGATTTTTCCGTAGGGAATAAAGAAATAAAAATATTTAAAATTTACATGATATTGGAAACAAAAATTTAACAACAGTCTTGAGTGTGTTTATGGCTTAAATAGCCTCAAGTTTTCTTGATTAACTGTGATCTGAAAATGGCCACTTTTTATCTTTCTAATCACAAACATTCCCAATGGCATGGGTAAGGGAAAAGAATCACTTGTTCTAGTTGGTTTCCACAGCACCAGTTAATGCTTCCAGTATTGTTTGATTGTTTTATAATATTTTATCTAAATATTTTGACACTGTATAGTGAAAGGAGTTTTACCATCCATTTTCAACCCCACGGGGGCAGGAATTTCTCACATGTTGTTTGAATACCCCTTACTTATGCAGTCCCCACACCTGGAAGCAGATCATTATCACATTTTCCTAAAATGTCACTCCTGGTTGTGATTTCACTTTTACTACTCTCACAGTGATAGCAATATCAATTCGCACTTATCCCTGGGCCTTGCTTCTATGCCCAAGGTTCTTCAAAACAACAAAAACGGAGAAATGGAAGTTACTGGTAACCTAAAAGGAAAAGGCATTTTGTTTACAATGAGAGGAATTCAGTGACACATACTGAACTGGGGGTATTTTTGCCTGTATATATTAAATTGAAGCCCTGCTTCTCTTACTTTGAGTTTCAGCTCACAGTGCCTCCAGACCTTTGGTAATGTATTATTCAAATGGTCTTATTCAACTATACTCCAGTGAAACCCAATAAAAAGCACTTTTCAGGAAAACGCCTTGATGCCAGGTCAATAGAATCACCACAGAAAGTTATCTACAAAGAACGTCTACAGTGGTTGTGGTTGTGGTAGATATGTTATGACATTAGTTGGGCAAAATATCTAATTATTTCTTCTTAAATTGTTAACAAGTCTTTAAATTTTGTTTATTAAAATACTTCATTACTAACACAACAGAGCCTAAAAAGGCTACAAGAAATCTGAAAAATTGATGACTTCTGCAGTATCATGTAAAAAACTACGTTTGTGCCTTCGTTTGAATATTTTTAAGTTTCCATACTTAAACTTTCCTATTAGTTAAAAGGAAGTTGACTAAGATATTTAACTAATTGTCAGACATTTTAAGAACAAAATTTAAAGGTCTGGAGTTTTCTGTTTATGGAGTGAAATGGTTTTACATTTCCTTGCAGCTGTTTTAAGTGTTACATTATTCAAACTATATCAGAAAAATCTGCTGACTGTCAAAAACCCAAATGATGAATGAGAAATAAATAATAGGAAACTTGACTGAATTTTTTTGCTGTAAATACTTTTACATGCTATAAAAATAATGCCTATACTTAACACCTATGCTGTGTATCTTATACATCCATACTATGCTTTTTATTGGTAAAGGAACAAAAGACATGAATGCAAATTTTTACTGTTAATGAAAAGGAATCATTGATGAAGCTCTTATAATACTGAAAAGCTGGGAAATTTCCTAAGATGCCTAAAC